GCGCTGCCAGGGACCTGACTGGTTGTCTGAACACGATCTAGACAAGGACAGCAGCGACTGCGAAGACCCTGGAGACGACGGCTGAAACATGCAAGAGCATGCAAGGACTGCGGAGCTTCAGTCATCCTTTTATCCGCAAAAGGTCCTGCAGACGACGTGCCGCGTGCTTGGGAGCGGTCACATTGGTATGAGCTGGTTGTCTACGATGCTGCGACTTGGGAGGGCTGATCCAGGAAGCTGCTGCTGTCTGTTGCTACCGTGTGTGCTGGCTAGTGTACTCAAAGCAGAACTGTCATTGCAATGGATGCCTATCGACATCTGCAGTCTCCGACACCTACCGCGCAGGCGTATCTGGAGCGCGACTACCCAAGCTTGGGGTGCACTTATATATAAAACGAATCTCAGAAATCTCTGCTCCATCGACTTCCACTTGATCGTAAACTTGCTTTTGCAGCACAAGGGATCGGCATATTAAAATAAATAGGATTTCCGCGAGCATCGAATGAATGGAAATGCCACCTGACAGAGGCTTTCCCAGAGTGCCTGTCAGCTGTGGTCTGCGCCGCCAGATAACGACTGAGGGGAGGGGGAGATTGAAGAGGACAAGAAAACCATGCCCCTCATTAAGAAGTGAGCTATATGCGGATATATTTTTAGGGGGACTTTTACCATCAGGGCCTTTTGTCAATCCTTGGGCACCCTCCCCCGTTGGCAAGGTTCGTTAACAAGTGAGCTATTTCCGGCCGTTGTTTGGGGGAGGGAAAGGGGTCACCACCAGGGGTCCTTGTCCACCCTGTGCCACCCATCCTATATTATCCAGTTCACGATTACAAGAAAAGTAAGTAATTTCAACGAGAGGAGCACAGCGTTCGGGTCCAGGAAGACGATTGCCGAACGTCAACTCACATAGTTAGGCGCCGGTCCTGCAGAGGGCAGGCACGGCGGGGCGGCGAGCGCTGCTACTTAATTGGCTACTTTCAAACACAAGCTGTAACACACCCCTCCCCTCGCCAAGGCTCTGGATACGACCCCGCCAACATACAAAAGAGGATAAAGTAGACTTCTTGAAAAGTCTGGCTATTGGAAAAGACTGCTCTAGACAGCAAAATTTTCCGTTTAGTAAATATGCTCCTCAATGCGTCATTGTTTGATTACGTCATGGTACCTTGCACCACTTTGCTTGAGAGTCGATTGACGGCCGTTAAATCTGTGCTCACAAACGTCAAATATGAACGCCTCTAGACTGATTTTGTCTTGGCCATGATCACCGCATGGCTTTTGGAATGACAGGATTTAAATGACGTTACTGTGATGCCATAAATTTCAAAGTCACTGCGAAAGGCTATCCCCGATATACCTTTCCCCAATATCGCGGACGTATAGATCAGAAACTAGAGGGGCTTAAGTCTTAAAAAGGGTGGGATTGTGAACAGTATCAAAGGATGTTCAAGATGGCTATTTCAGTTCAAAACCCCACATAACCCCAAAACCCCACAAAACCCCACATGGAACACTCCTTTTAATGTAAAAATATCGGCCCGCCGCGCGCGTTCCATGACATCGTCGGTTGCCGCCAGCCGCTTGCGGAGGCCGCAGATCGACATACAGTGCTCCTCAAATATTGCCGTTGTCCCGAAACGTAGATCCATTAACCGCGCCCCGAAACCAGAAAGGCTAAGAAAATATTTTTGGTGTCAAAACACGCGCAATAAAATGCTCCATGAGCCACCAAAAATTTTGGCGTGATTTCACGACATGTCCGGGAGGTGTCCTCCAAGAGCATAGGGTGGGATCGCTCTCCCTATCGCGGCGAGGTTTGAAAACCGCATTCGCGATGCTGCACATCATATTGCAACATAGCATGTTGTACATGTTACACCGCCTCCCAGCGTCGACGTCTGGCCATTCGCACCGATGTAGGCTGGCAGCCGCATGCCAACTCATCCTGATCAAGTCCAGTCATGCCGTGAGTCATCGGAGCCAGCGGCGGTGAACTGCGCGTCCAGCCGTCATCGCCCGGAGGAAACGGCACGGGACTTTCCCGGCGCGCCAGGCCCAAGGCCGGTGGCTGCTGCGCACGCCTGCACCGGTGAATAGAGAGCAGCACCGCTGCCGCGAGGCAGACCAATCTCTTGGCACGGGGCGCTCCGGCGAAAGCGGCCCGTAAAACGCGACCGCATCACCTACATGCAGAAGGCTGTCCTGCAACCAAGCAGGTGTTGGAGATGCTACCCATCTCTAACCGTTTGTGAGGTCACGGTACGTCACGCGGCGAATGTCTCGTGCTCGCAATCGCGCGACGCTCTGCAACATTATATGGAAAATGGACACGTGAACGGAATCCGTTATGATCAGTGTCTCCGTGCTGGAACGGATAAAATGGAACCAATTTTTTGACAAGCGGAGGTTTGCTGTACTTTGTGACCCCAAGGCCGAGAAATAGCTTGTGAACACTTATTGGGCTCGTCGACCGCAAGAAACAAAACAAAATACTAATCAACGGCACGACACCCGCTTATAGCGCGCCACAGGTCTGTGGTGTAGTGACGTTATTCTGAATCTGGAAGGAACTAGTTCGAATACAGGTTAGATGAGGCCCTCGATGACTTGGCACAAGAAATGACAGCGGGTCCTGAGCGATGCCTTAAACGCATCGTTCCGATCACTGGAAGTTCAAATGCCGGTGGGTAAGTACCAATCGTTTAAGTAAGGCTAAACCTCACCAATATGTAAATCTGGTCATTTTTGCGTTTGAAAATAGGACACGAGCAGCCATGTGCTGGAGGAAAATCGTGCAATTCATCATGGGATAATTCTACACAATGTGGCGTCACTGAATTCATCTTGAGATAATCTGCATAATATGACGTCACTGAACAATTAACAGCAAAATAGTCAAGCATGCTTTCAAGTAGCGGAAGAACGCCACGCAAGCAGACTGTGCAGAGTGACGCACTCAAGGGCGGATTTCCCACGCCAGTGACGTGCCTGGCCTGGGTGTTCACGCGGTTCACGGTACTGCGCTCAGAGCTCGCGCCAGCCGATCGCGCTCTGTGATCACACACTGCCAGGGCTTGTGACGGATAACAGGAACTGGGGCAATGACGATTGATAACAGAGCGCGTGTTGCTCCACGCAATCTTCCGCATAACTGCGAAGTAAACAACTGCGGTGATTCCAATGACGCAGGTGATGGCGTGTGCCGTCCTGGCTCGAAAGAAATGCGGGTTGGAGGCGGGGGGGGGGGGGGGGGAGGGGGAGGGGGTCGGTGAAATGTGCAATTGCGGAATTTGAACCAAAGTGCGCTCGTCAAGAGACCGCTGATAGGGTTTGCAACACCGACCTACAGCAATGCGTCGGAAAAAGGCGCATGCGTCAGGCATCGCACCGACAGGCGCACCAACCGATGGCGTCGATTGTGATGCGACACCGTTCCCTCAGAAAACACCTGAACCCCCACCTACGAGGCGTGACCCAGCACGCGAATCGGTAGCGCGGAGCGGCCCGACCTTGGGCCGAGCGGACTCTGCCATGCGGCTCCGAGCTGTTTGGGTCGTGACTCATGCATGACGCAAGACGTCTGCCGTGGAAGCCGCGGGACCGCCCGACGTTATCGCACCGGAACGGCCCGTGTCGTCACAACTGGCGGGAGGGTCACGGGAGGTTCCGGCCACCTTTGCTGCACATTCGCACTCGCGCGACGATCGGGAGTGGACGCTGGTGCGCAGCCGGGAGGACGTGTCTCGGCGCGAGCCCGCAGGGGTGAGCATCTGATTGAGGAAGTGACCGCCAGCGGAGCAGCGCGCAAGCGGAAGTCCGCGGAAGTGTCCCACCGCCTGTGGCTGGAAGCGCATTGCTGCACACTCTGTCCTGCTGGCATCAGGGAGGTATGTTCCCACCTGCCTCGTTAGAATGACAGCCGGCCACCGTGGCCGGAATTACTCACTTGTGCTATTCCCTTTCATTTCTTTTTTTATAAGGAGGCAAGAAGCCCGACGAACACGGTGGCTGTGCTAATAACCGCACCAGTGTGGTCACTGTTGAGTGGCTGTCATCACGTCGATGAACATCATCTGTCTCTCTGCGTAATCTTTATAAGTCCAATTCTTTGCATTAATATTATTATTAATACTGTATCAATACAACTCGATGACCGAGCTGAACTGCGTTAGAACGGTTACATGACCCGCAAATTCGCCGCAAGCCTGGTGGCGAGGCTCCGGCACTGCTGCCGATCATAGGGCGCTCATCATAAGCGTCAAAGCCTCAGCCACCAGGTTTCATGTGGGTTGAATTGCTCGGAATCACACATGCTGTCGAAATAGAGCGCTGCAATCTATCAAACGACAGCACAAATTCAGTCAACGAGTACGAAGCAACAAACACAGACGCCGCAGATGCACACAGCCAACGCTGATCCTGTTGAATAAGCTTTGTTATTTGCGGTGACAATCAAAGAGCCTGATGGAAGGATTCCGTGAAACATGATGTTTCGACAAGAAATCTGAGTTGCTGGGGGAAAAAAGGAAAGCGGGCTTTGCACTCTGAGTCGCCCACGCCCACGCACGCACGCACGCACGCACGCACGCACGCACGCACGCACGCACGCACTGAAATTGCACACACACACACACACACACACACACACACACACACACACACACACACACACACACGCACTATTGAAATCAGATGTGGCATCTGTCTTTTCACGTGCAGCGATGGTGACTTATGCAACCTACAATTCGGGCCGTTTCCTCTCGGTTTCACCCGTGTGTATTAAAGAACTACATGCATGCATGCATGGTCACTGACAGGACATGCATGGTCACTGGTTGCATCTCCTACATCTTGCAGGTAATGGGAATCAAGTCCACAGGCATCGCGTTCCGGCCTAGTCCGCATGGGTACGACGCCTACCGACCCGGGGACGTCGTCAGTGGCGTGGTGGTGCTCGACGTTGGTGGTCGGAAGCCCCACCGGCTGTCCGGTAAGTGAGCTTCAACCGCGCGCGATTCGTGCCGATTGTGCAGGGTTGGTCAGTGTTGTGTGCGAGCGCATCATGCCGATGCATATCTACGTTCTGCCGCCGATATTGCTGGTTTTGATGAATACGGATCTCATGAAGGGTCCATGCGGGTCATAGTTCTGTAGCGTGTTTTTATTTTCAGTGGACACTTCGTCAATCCTTTGTCGTCCTCAAGACAGGAATGACCTATGCATATATACATATATATGTGCATATCTGCATGTATTCCCTCTCTCTCTCTCTCTCTCTCTCTCTCTCTCTCTCTCTCTCTCTCTCTCTCTCTCTCTCTCTCTCTCTCTCTCTCTCTCTCTCTACACTATCAGCTAACAGAGGCGCTTCTGTGGCATGCGAATGAACTGAGGCATGTTGTTTGTGATACAAATATAACACAAGCTGGAATCTCACTACACGACAAAATTGATGTGAGCGTTTAGTCACTAATTGTGTTTTCGTAAACCATGTTCCATGTGTAGATACAAGGTAAATATTTTTGCCACAACTTTCCTTTCGTCCGTTAAGTAGCTCAGGCTGGTCTTGCGTGTTGTTTCCAGAGGCACCCTGAAATAAATATTTTCCTGAGCACCAATTTTGTACATGATGGGTCAACCAGATTAAGTGTGCCGGCTAGGCATGGCCTGTTGCGTGGACATAAACTATAACTGAATTGTCAGTTCTGTTAGTTCAATTAGTTTAGTTTAATTTGTTCAGTTAGTCCAGTAATTTACAGTCAATACTGAAGCCTCAACTCCACAAACTGAAGCCGAATAGTGCTGATGGATTTGTACCGTGTCATATGTCGTCCGTGCATCATATCATGTCGCGTCTTTGAGCAACCACTGGCGACAACAGCTTCTGTTCCTTGTCGGGGAAACCCAACCGCGCATCATCAGGCCAAATGTCATCCACCGCTTGGTAGTCCACTGCATTACATGCTTGACCAACGGGATGGTTCCCCGCCGTGCTGAAGCCTGACCTTTCAGATGATATGTCGATGACAATGGCTGCATGTGGCGTCACCAGAATTTGCCATGATTGCGAGGGCTGGGTCCAATGTTCAAATGACTCAGCATGGAGCTATTTCAACATGGCGCTGAATGCCGGAACAGCAAGTCCCGAGGTCATCGTGTCCTCCCCATCCTCCCTGATTTTGAGAAAGTGCCACCTCCCTAAGCATTGTCGTATTCCAGGGGCATCCATCGCCGTGGAAGGCGTCGCCTCCACGTACTGGACGACCTCGAGCGGCGACGACACATCCTCCTACTCAGATGAGGTGTGGCTCATCAGTCAGAAGCTGACCCTGATCAAAGGCAAGTCTCTTCGATGATCGACCGGCTCCACCAGTGCCCTCTCGGTGGTCTTGCGCGTGTGTTCGCACGCACAACATGAATCAGTGTTTAGTCATGTTGTGCGTGCGAACATGGACCTGGAGGTACAAATGTGCGTGCGAACGTGGACCTGAAAGTGTAAATGTTTGCATGCAAACATGGACCTGGAGGTGTAAATGTGCGTGCGAACATGGGCCTGGAGGTGTGAATGTGCTTGCGAACATGGACTTGGAGGTGTAAATGTGCGTGCAAACGAGGGTCAGGAAGTGTAAATGCGCGTGCAAACATGGACCTGGAGGTGTAAATGTGCGTGCAAACATGGACCTGGAGGTGTAAATGTTTGCATGCTCAGCGCTTAATTGGTCTTTGGCTCGGAGGAGAAGACCGGAGGACGGTGAACATAAATCAGGAAAACTATGACACGCTGTTGCATCTTATCACCACTCACTCCAGTCGTCAGGCCTGCATTCAGTCGTTAATGGTTCCAACACAATGTAGACCACTGAAACGAAACGCTACATGAGATGTTTCAGGAAAGGTGGTCTGTGGGTCATGAAAAGGTGGCCCGTGTGACATGAAAAGGTGGTCTGTGTGTCATGAAAAGGTGGTCTGTGTGTCATGAAAAGGTGGTCTGTGTGTCATGAAAAGGTGGTCTGTGTGTCATGAAAAGGTGGCCTGTGTGTCATGGAAAGGTGGTCTGTGTGTCATGAAAAGGTGGTCTGTGTGCCATGAAAAGGTGGTCTGTGTGTCATGGAAAGGTGGTCTGTGTGTCATGAAAAGGTGGCCTGTGTGTCATGGAAAGGTGGTCTGTGTGTCATGGAAAGGTGGCCTGTTTGTCATGGAAAGGTGGTCTGTGTGTCATGAAAAGGTGGCCTGTGTGTCATGGAAAGGTGGTCTGTGTGTCATAAAACGGCTGTGTCACGTCATCGCACTGCAGGGACACCATACTTGGTCATGCTGTTAACATATGATATTATGATGATTTTCCAAGCGTCCTGTTCACGAAAAGTGATCTTATTTGGCTCAAGCTCACGTAGCTCGAAAACGATTAAGCATGGCGATCATGACGGCCTCTAGAGCACTTATACATCGATAGTAAAGCTACGCATCGTCTTGTGGCGTAACTATGCGCGTTTCCACATTTGCACGACAGAATTACAGCGGATCTACGTTTACTACAAGGTTGAGAATGCAGGCGAGAGGCGTTTTGGTCTGCTTCCATGCTATTACGAATAGCGTAAACATTGTTATCGTGCACTGTATCACTCCAGTGATTGCAGCACGCGTCTGCCATATCGTAATCACGCGACTATACAAACAAAATGCTCTTGCTGAATGCCAACATTTCAACCCTACATGCCATTCTTGACGAGCATGCACCACCGCTGGAACAGCCCTCGACCTCTTTGTTGTTCCTCACCCTGACCTCCTTGTCGCAGATCCAGGGAGGGACCTGATGCCGGGTAAGCACCAGCTGCCCTTCAGCTTCCAGTTGCCGTCCCGCCTGCCGCCCTCCCTGAGCGCCTCGTACGGCAAGGTCAAGTACACCTTCCGCGCGCGAGCGGTCAGCAGCGGCCTGTTCTCTTTCAACGGCAAGGTGGACGGCAGGCTGACTGTGGCGCCCCACCGCGACCTCAACGAACACCCGCGGCTCGGCGTGAGTGCAGAGGGACCGCGCCCGGACTAGGCCGGAGCGCACTCGGGGTGGGCTGCGTCATTTGTGAACTGTTTGCCTGATCCTTTGTGAACGCATTTGCCTGCCGTAACCATTCGTGTCGCAGCAAGAAGTGCCGGGTCTCGCGATAGGGCGATTTAAATCAGCACTTGGTGCGCGCTTTTCGTAACCCCTCGTGTTGTACCTCAGAGTGTGACAGGGAGGGTACACAATCTACGCACAAGTCATTGCTAAGCTCAATTACTTTATGCCATACCCCTGATCATGACCAATATATAAAACACCCTGAGACGTTATATCGACCAAACCCCGAGTGGGATATGTTCGCATTCGCTGCTACTGGTATGCAAAGACATCATCTGAAGTGACGTCACCTGGAGCGACGTCATCCGGAGTGACGTCATCCGGGTTCGGTGGGGCTACGGTAGCTGGTTGAGTGCTTGCTGAAGGCTCCGGGTCCGTGCCTGTCAACACCCGACAGCCATAGCTTGACACCTTTGGCTGAATAGTGTATGGTCTGTATCGCGACCCTGTGTGTCGCGTACCCTCACCACCGGGCACCGCCTGCTCCCACGGCAGAAGCCGGTCACGCTGGAGAGCAAGACGGCCTGGTCGTTGTTCGGCCCGAGCAGCAAGCGCTTCACACTGACGATGCCGAAGAGCGGCTTCGCGGGCGGCGAGGCAATCGAGATATGGGTAGACGGCCCGCAGAGCGTGCTGGAGGCGATGGCCAGTGGCGACGGAAGACTGAAGCTGAAGAGGGTGAGGAAGAGATGCGTGATCCGAGCCGTCAGTGACAGTTTTGTGCTCGGAAATAACTGTATCATACTCGTATGATGTGATTGCCCACCTTATGTTTTTTCAACCATAGCACGTTTTACAATAATGACGTTTCCGTCATGAGGCGCCAATAACGTGCGTTTGACGTGACTGACGAAATTACACATGTGACGTCCATATGGGTACGTTTTTTGTTTGCTCGTGCCCCTCCATGACTGTTCAAGCTGGCTTTCATTTGGTTTATCTCATGACATAACCCCCACTCCTCCTTTTCTGCTCGCGACATGACGTTTCCATCTCTTCCTTCCCCATGGTCCATCCTTTCTTCATGACAAGGCGTGACGACCCCCGCCCTAACTCTCCAGCGGGACAGTGCATCCTGATACCCGCCCTAACTCCCCAGTGGGGCAGTGTTGCCCGATACCGCCCTAGCTCCCCAGCAAGGCAGTGCGCCCCGATAACCGCCCTAACTCCCCAGTGGGGCAGTGCACCCCGATACCCGCCCTAACTCCCCAGTGGGGCAGTGTAGTCCGATCCCCACCCTAACTCCCCAGTAAGGCAGTGCACCCCGATACCCGCCCCCATGTAGCCCCGCCCCCGCCACCCCGATACTCCCCATGGAGGCAGTGCAGCCAGCCTGTGCCTTCCTTCTCCATCTACCGTCGGCCATCCCTCTGTTGGATGGCTCTCATGGGTGAAGCTTTCCGTGTCGCATCATCACCGTGCCTCTGAAAGAGCATGTCTCAGTCCAGAGTGCCGGCAGTCCTAAGTCTCCACTTTTGCTCATCTTGATGTGATACTCATGTTCCTTTATTGCTCTCGGCCTACGATGAACGCGTGCACTTGATGCAAACGGAGCTGTACATATCATCGGAGGATTGATGGCAACTGTGTAGGGATGACTAACCTCAAAATCGCTTTCCGTCACCCCTTCCCCAAGAAGCCCAGAGGTGTCACCGCTAGTGATGTTACCCCTGCAGCGGACCGTGTTCCGGGCCGGCGCGTTCACTCAAGAGAAGAAGCAGGTGCTGTCAGTGCTCAAGCCGGGCCGCGTCGCCGCCAGCTGGCGCGTCCTGCGGCTGCCCGTGCCCAGCGGCGAGGCTAGCGTCGAGGAGGACGTCTGCCGCATCATCACCGTCTCCCACTACGTCAAGGTCTGTGGCGAACCCGGTCGGTCTGCTCAGCATTGGTACCGGCGGCAAGGAAGGAGCCGAGGACTTTGTAGGCTTGTGTTTTCGTACACACTCACTAAAATACAGTGCTTCTCTGTGCTACCTGTTACCGCTGTGCGAACAGATGGAGCAGGCGTAACCCGCCAGCAGGCTTTTTCATGGTAGTCTTGTATGCAAGGCAGTCGCCGTACAGTCCGGATATAAAAACTAGGCCAATATGCGCAAACCGTAATATACTTATTTACAGGAGGACCACATTGATTGTACACATGCAGTTTACGCATATCGCGGGAAAATGATACGCTTGTGATGTTACTCCCATTTTCCAACTACGACGGACACGTGCTGCAGTGTTGCCGCCAGATGATGTGGCCAGCCTGATACCCACTGAAAACACCAGCGCAACTGACGAGGCACCGGCCTTCACTGCCATGACTGCACCGACATACCGCAGTGAATTGCAACTTGCTGTGCATTTTAAACCAGCCACATCATCCAGCAGCAGTGTACCGACACAAGATTGTCCCTTGGAGCTGGAATACGAATGTAGGAAAAAGTCCGGAGTCCAGGCAGAGTTTGTAGCTATCTGGACAGCTGTTGTACAGGGGAAGCATGCTAGCAGGTCGTTTAGCGCCCACACACACACACACGGTGACCACAAGCTAATCCGGGTTAGACCGTTGCCTGGGTGCCCAGCGCCTTCTCTGTGACCGCGTCGCGGCAGTGACCAGCGGTGATCTCTAGTGACCAGCAGTGACCTGGTGCTTCACCACAGCTCGACACCTGAGGTCAGCTGATGGCGGGGCATCCATGCCGCCAATCTAGCGTGCAAACAGATTATTTGAGGACACTACTGCCGAAACGAAGCGATCACGGCTGTCACTAGCAGAGTCTCGCAAAACTTCAGGGCCATGAGCCCTGTTGCGATGCCCCTGCCAGTGGCCATCAGTGACCTCCTCGCCTTTCCGCAGGTCTCGACCGGTGGCATTCACCTCCACGTGCCGGTGACCATCGGGACGGTGGCGTTGAGGCCCCACTGAGCGGACCGTCCGCGGCGCGGTACCGTCCCACAGCGAGCAGACGGCCCAGCGAACTCTCTCACTTCGAACTATGGGCTACAGTTTGTGATTGTCCACAGCGAGCAGACGGCCCAGCAAACTCTCTCACGTCGAACTGCGAGCTACAGTCCGTGACTGCCCGCGGTTGGTGGAACCGGAATATGTGCCAGGACGTCTTATCGATGCTGGTTTTGTATGTGTCAACGGAAGTTGAGGCGTCAAGACTGACAGACTGCGATTTTGCTACATGAATGAACACGCTTGCTTCGAAGAGGATGTGATTTTGTTATCCTGCGAATCAAGATGGCGGGTGTTATTATTTATTGACTGTGTTGTATACTGGGGTGTATCGGCAATTGGAGTAGTATTTATACAGTACGTGCGTGTATTCCGTTTTTATGTTATATTTATATCCGTCGACCATTTTGTACGTGTGTAAAGACGTCTTATAAGAATCGAAGCCGGAGCACAAGGTCATTGGTGGTGCTTTGCATCTGTTTGGAGAGGGATTCAGCCCGCAAGGGTTGTTTCAGCTCCCTCCACACTGGACCAAAATCCCAAATTTTTGTACCTTGTTAAGATATGGTCCCAACATTTCGACGGGATGTATTTCTGGGATCAGAGTCTTCGCGATTGTGAAGCAGTGGTTGTGTGAGCCCAGACCTCACCGTTCGATCGTGAGGCTTAAGGCCACCGGCAGCAGGTCATCCCACCCAGAGGCCAATAGCGAACGCCTAAGTGACTCGAACCCACCCCGCCACGGGTTTGCGATTCGAAAGAGATGTGCTGTAAACAACTGAGCTGCCAAAATAGCCATCAAAGGTCTGGACTGCGGACCTTTGGTTTATATCTTTATTCGTACTCGAGCTGCGGTGGGCAGCGTTGTCTCTCCAGGTTGCAGCTAGATGATATGGCTAAGTTGAGAAGCATGGACAAACATCATCTCACCACGGTATCGAACCCCATCCCTGATAGAAGCGACTATTGCTTTGCCACAAATAAAGTGGAAGACACACGTACCGAATTCGTTGAGATCGTAGAAGAAAGCTTTACGGTTTCAGGAACTGTTATTTTTGACCTCGCCCCCCCACCAAAGAGCTTTGTAATGTTCTTCTTATTAGCCAGCATTTCGAGTACAGGCCTAGGCGATTCGTGTTTTTCTGTTCCAAATGCAACTCAGATGATGTTTTTGTTGTGATAATACGGCTAGCTCGAGCCATAACCGTCGTAAGGGCTTAATACACGGCCTCGTGCAGTAGGAGCGCTCAATGATCTGTGCAGTGGAGCTGTCCTGCGCGTGAGCACAGAAATATACCAATACAGACATTGTTGGTGACGCTACGTTACTGTCTTCTGTTCTACTACCTCGCCTTCATGGTTTGGATGTGCGGAGCCAACGGGTCACTACACTGACTATGCGCGATGATCGAAACATTTTAAAATGCGGTGATGAAAAATGTTGAAAAATACTTTAAAACGTTTTTAAACATCCTCCATCTGTGGCTCTCCTCAGCAGCGTAAACATGATTTGATATGCTTCTATGGCAACGCACTATTTTATAATTTCTTCGTACAAAGTAGATCATCGTGTCATATAATCGCAATTTTCAGTTGTTTTTACTACTTTTGCAGTCACATTTGCTTCATGATTGGGTTAAGTTTTTTTAACTGCATGGCCCATTTGAGGCTTTTCAATCTATCCATAACACTGGATTTTCAAAGATGTCGAATTAAGGTGACCTCGGTATCAAAAGAACAATAAACCGCTTTTCGGGATAAGGTGGAACGTAGTTGCTTAAGGCGCAACCGTTTTCTGTGATTGATCGAGCAGACTTGAAACTAAATTCGCACACGCCCTACCTTTCGGAATATGCTCTGCCACCAGCACTTTCTTCTTCCCATCCAGCCAAAGACACGAAGCGTTATATTGCAATATTTGGTAAATATAAAAATTTAAGTGTCACGTCTCACAATCCCTTTATGGTCACATTCTCTTCATCGCCTTTATTGTCATTTATCGGCCAGCACAGAATGCTTCCTGATATTTAAGGTGCGGTCCCAGTCTTTGCTCAACAGATGGGACCCCTAGCTAACTCGGTGCCCCTTACCGACAAAGGAAGCTCTCAAGCACTGCGGGCCCCCCCCGCCGACAAGAGTATCAACCAATGCAAGATGCTTTCGACCAGACTTTGCAAGCCCGGTCTTGCTCAGGTTGGAAAATGGGCCCACATACTAACGCGGCTCGACTGTGCGGTATTGGTGGCCTTTGACCGAATTAAGGGCCGCTGGGCAAAAGGCCCTCAGAATGCATGCGAAAACCGCAATGCTGCGGGCCTTTAGTGCGACCTCCGGCCGGCCCATCGGGACGTCCATTCGGGCCCTTGCCCGTCGGTAGAGAGGTCCCGAGAGGCTCCTCAGAACACAAGGGGAGGGGGAGTGAATCTGCTTCCCCCAGCCTGCATCCTTGCTTCCTAGGTGAGAAAGGAACAGCGGAACAGGGTGTAGAAGGGAGCACGGGGGCCACACGTGAAACTTTCTAAAGCATATTGGAGATGCGATTGACATTTTTATACCTTATTCTTCCCAAGCAACGCCGCAGATCTCGTACTTGAGACCAGTTTTCATATAAGTATCGCCATATCTTTAGGTCTCGTTCACTTGCAACGGCACTACGGGAGGGGGGGGGGGGGCTGGGTCCAAGTCTGGTCGGGTCCTGATCTTTGGTCCTGACTGATATTTCAGGTCACTACCCTACGGGCGGCGATTCTTTATGTGACCTACAGCCAGTCCTTCGGGCCCTTACACCTTCCAACCAAACCCTTGATCGTCGTTTCCGATGGGCCCCCCGGGCCCCTCCTCGGGCATCATCGAACACTGCTTTTGGTAGGCTCGGACCGCTTACGAACACAGGACCCCCTGTAAGACACTGTGAGCCCATGATAAACACCGGAGCCCGACCAGTGTAAATAGCTGACCCCGGATTTGCAACTGTTTGGAAAGTGGGCTCTCAGGTCCATACCGACACGGAGCCGACTGTGTGATACTGGTGGTGCTAGGCCGACATATAGGTCCTTGTCGACTTAGGGGTCCCTGATCGGTGCAAAGGGCTCTCTGACTAACTTGAGGGCCCATCCCCGCAAATCGGGGCCCCTGAATAAGACCACGATCAGTTTTTCGTGCACTTAGGCCTTCCAATCGTCCCCTTAATCGCAAGTCCTGAGGTCCTGAGGGGCACATCGGGTCCCTCTGAATCTAACAGGGAGGGGGGGAGGCCTGCCCCTGTACCCCCTGCCGGCGCCAGTGTACCTGCAGGACACTATTTAATACAAATTAACATGATTCTAATAGTGATTAGTTTGGTTGGCTACTAACTACGGTACCAATAGTTAAGATAATTGTTCCGCATACATTTGGCCCAGTATTTCCTCCTAGCTCAAATGCGTTGAAGGGGCTCAGCAGAGCATTGGGAGGCTCAGGTCCCCACGAAAATATGTAAAGTGGCGCATCTCGGATGACGCGTGGCGTAAGCGCAACAAGGGGAAGGGGGAGGATGGACAGTGCAATGTTACGTTCATGTGTGGTTGCAGTTCATGCCAAAAAATAAAATACAATTAAAAGTTAGAGCCAGATGCCGTCGACTCCCTGTCATGGCATGGAGCACGCCATGATTTGTTTGCATCTCCAGGTCAATTAGGAAACAATGGGACCTTACTTTTCGGGACGCCACACTAACACAGTGTAGTCAGAGGGAGAGGGTCTCGCCCTGCGTAACCAGCGCGCGGGTTGAATGTGCCAAAATTGCGTAACATGGTTTAAGGACGGTCCGTAAGTATGACTGGCAATCACGCCTAAGCGTAACGCCACGTTGTTGATTCCCCTTTTCCCTTGCTTTCCTTCGGTTATTCTCCGTCCATACGTCCCTCACGCTCCATGGGTAACGTAATATATGGACGTCTCCAAGTTGTGGTGGCTTACTGTATACCCAAAGCGCTGACTTGAGACGCATTTAAATACAAGAAACACAAAACGTGCAGAAGAAACGCCACATTTATGCCAATGATGCTATCGGCATTTCGATGGAGTACTTGATGATGATGCTGCTGTCCACATAATTTGCTAGTAACTGTGGAATTCAATTATGCTCGAATGCGTCGCTGCTTCTCCCAGTATACCTCCATGGACTAAATTAGGTGATTCCATCAACTCCAATAATCGGACTTTCCGCGCTCACAAACGTACGCGAAGTAAGCGGCAGTTCCATACAGACATAGCTCACAGACCCGTAGCCAGGCGAATGCATTGGGTGCCCGCGCATCTCCTGGGATCTGGGATGCAACACCAGCCTTATTCCGTCCAACCCTAAAGTTGCACTTCGGGCTTTCAAGAGGATTGGAAAAAGTATTTTCTGGTGTTAAGATTTTACTTGGTTTGCAACAATGTGTTAAAAAAACGACTGAAAAATGTAATTGTCCCAGCCCGGTAAAAGTGTATAAGACAAGTGTCCGCCTTTTGCTGGAGTGCTAGGGCACCCTCTCCCCTGGGAGCTTGGTCTGGCTGCGGGCCTGCATGCGCGTCATTCGGTACTGCAAACACACCTGCTGTAACGCAATAGGTTTTCTGCCTCAATAAACACTGCCTGCTATGTCACAAAATAAATTTAGAAAATCAATTAAGAGTTATATATCTATCTTAAGAAAGAGAGCGCATACCATGACGATATATCAAGAAATATAATTATCCCAAGGTTTTGCTTCCTAATCTAGCGCAGCTATGACAATATTCGCCGGCGTTTTAGCGAGCAAGACTGCTGGAGGAAAGGAAGCGGGGAGGGGGCCGGAGGGATTATTGAGGGAGGGGGAGGCGGCGTGGTGTATGTGCTAACGGTCGAAGGAGGATTTTCGTGTAATCGAGGACTGCGCGTGTCGTTCATGCTCACGTGCAGATTTCAACACAGAGCCAATGTCTAACAACACTAGACCATTACGGGTACGTCCGATGCTTGGTCCCGGGCGTGTGGGTGGGTGTGACTTGGGCGTGGGATCTGACGCTGCTTTGGTTGGCTGTAGTTAACATCTCTTGTGTCCTGCATTATGTATTATATGCGCTGCCAGTCTGTAGTGCAGGTGATATGAGACCAACAACTTGTGTTGTCACTCACCTGCATCAGGTAATCAAAACTAATGGTATATGCTCTAAATGGATTAAATCACTTTGCCAGGGCAATAACAACCACTCATTTATCTGGATGGCTTAAGTGTAGAGAGACACACTGGGGTCAAATAAGGGAGATGTGACAGGAGGTTGGATAAGCTTTCTCTGCCCATGGTGTGATTACCATTGTGGAATGAGTCAGGCATCTGTGGAAAGATGCATCCTACCTTCAAAATTTCTGCTGAAAGTGATGAAAGGATGAAGCAGGACACAATACTTGTTGTTGGAGAGTGGTACCAAATGATTGCCCCCAAATAAAAATGTGTGTTTGCATCTGGAATGAAGGTCAGAACTTGTGTACTTTCAGGACTTTTATACCATGGGTAACTTGTTCCAAGAAGGTTGATCTGATATAAATCTGTTTCCCCTTAAAATTGAAATGAATGAAAAGAAACACATTCTGGATAACCTGACTACTCCAATTAATAATCTCTTATTGCATGTTTAAGGTCACTCACTACCAGTGGGTGTTGAGCTGCAAAATCTGTACTTATTACTCCTGAGTACTAGGATGATATTACAAAAAATGTGAGTGGGCTGGTGCAGATTATGAAGATGTTATATTTAAGACAAAGGTAGTTGTCTGTCAAAGAACATAGCACACTAATACCCATTGAGAAGTGGGTTGTGGAGGCATGGAGAATACAGAACATACATACAAACAGAACATAACTGTGGATTGGTCTCCAATGATCATGACCCAGTTTGCTGAAGTCATGCCTGTGGATGGTTTGTGTTCAAGTGATAGATATCAAGAAATTGTATTTGTTCTCAATACAACATGCAACATTATGCATCACAATATATTTCAATATATGCCAAGGTGTCTGCAACTGCAGATGTATTCATCTGCACTTATTCAGATGGTGCCATCAGTTTGTTTTCTTCTCATCAACTGAAGGTACTAAACCTTAAATCTCATCTTGCCTCCAAGTTCAATTTACTCAGAACCTTTTAGCCACAACCGCATCCATTGAATTTGATAAGGGCTAGAGTCCAATTCAAAGAGATGCTGAGGTAGTGGCCATGCTAGTGAATACCTCAATGTGGCAGTCAAGATGCAACTTGATATCCAGGTTACAGTATTAGAAATAATCTCTGATTGCAGTTCTTTATTTGAAAGCATTGGCCATACCCAAATATGCTGAAATCATGTGGCCAAGGTATTATCAGCAGTTTCTGGGCTGGCTTTGTAAAATGCCCATGTTTACTTTATCTGCAAGAAACGTGACTGTACAACCCTGAACTTAATACTTATGATTCCATACTTAGTCACTGCAAGCCAAATGTTCACAAAATCTTTGATTGTAAATATTTCAGACTGGCTGTCATTGGCTCATTAATGTTGTTGGAGTGTTTTCCTTACTTCCTGGTAATATATAGATATGGAGAGATGAGTGAATGAGGCAGTGGAGGTTGAGACTGTGATTTTGGTGCTGCTTTGTCTTCCATGTTCTTATGGCTCAGTCTTTACTTAGATTTCCTGAAACTGCTTGACATTGGATGCATCATATAGTTTGTCAGATATGTACTGTGCAACGCCTTTTGTCATCACTACACTTATCATTAGTTGTGCAGTTGACTCCATCAGTACGCATAACCATTTTCATTATCATCTCACCGGCATAAACAAATTTGTGATCTGTCCTTCCAGGTGCTGATGATCCACGGCTATCGGCAGAATGCTTCCTCCTGCCGGGAGAAATCTGGTGCCTTTCGCAAGCTGACAAAGAGGCACATTGACCCCGTGTTCATATCGGCGCCGCTGGTGGTGCCATCAAAACCAGATGAAGCCAACTCTGGTAATTGCAAGCTTTAGTGGGCCCACTGGCGATGTTTTTGTTTTAGCTCAGGCGTGAGCAAGCACATGCCAAAATAGTGTTTTCATTCATTTTCATCCTGCTCAGTCCAACACAGTCCCTGTGTTGGACTGAGCAGGCTACAACTGCCTGTGCCTGTCATCTTGTGTGATGTTGAATGCGTGACAGCTAATACTGAGGACATGGTTGATATATAAAGTGACAAGCAGTGTTTCCCCGAAGCTAGCGTAGTCTAGAGAGCACCAACATTTGGCGCCCTGACCAAGAAAGAGCCGCTCCATGTGCCCCCCCCCCCCCCCCCCCACCACTTCCCGCTCCGACACACCGCGCTCCTGCGGCGTCAGGAATGCCACGATCGTCGTACTTGCCGCCGCAGTGTAAAGGTGCGAACCAGAGCCCCCCCCCCCCCTCCCCTGACCGTCGCCGGCGCCGCTGCCGCCAGCAGCGGACGAGCGCGGCTGGTGGTTCTCGGGCGCGGACGACTCGTTCAGCGCCGGCCAGCAGTCGGAGCTGTGCCGCGGCTTCGAGGCGAGCCTGGCGACAGTGCGGGCCGCCGCGCTCGAGCACGCGCCCATCGACGGCGTGCTGGGCTTCAGCCAGGGCGCGGCACTCGTCGGCCTGCTCTGCGCCCTCCAGCAGCGCGGAGGTACGCCGCCCGCGCGGCCGGCGGCGCCGAGGTGCGCCGCCCGCGCGGCCGGCGGCGCGGCGAGGGACGCCTCCGACCGCGGGCTGAAGGACGATGCACTCCAATGCATTCAGCATTGCAGCGCATCGAATAGAAAGTCGTTATGTGTAGACATAGATGTGCACTCAGTCAACATGATGCAATGTATGTGAGAAAGGGGCTGCCAGGATATACGCCCTCATGAGCCTGGTGTATCTTTCGCTTATGAATTGATTACTAATCCTGTCAGTTCTTCGCCAAGGAATGTGGCTCGAGCATCCCACAAGCAGTTATCTTGAGTTCCTGAGCTCGTGGAGTTCAAAGCAAGTAAGGGCAGCCGGTGTGGAGGCGAGGCGGCTCACAACGCTGTGCGGAAGTTGTTGTTTGAGGAAGGTTGTGCTCGTCAGTCCACCGTGCAGTTTGGACAGACATGTAGCAATTAGTATGCAGCTACCTTCGAGCCGGGGCTAGAGAGCACGGCAATGGGCAGAGAAGACGAAAGTCTGCGCTCAGGACTAACGCTGTACCCACGTGCGCGGGCAGAACTGGACTGGAGCTTCCGTTTCGCCATCCTGGTGGCCGGGTTCCGGTCCCGGTCAGCGCCGCACGCCAAGCTCTACGAGGAGAGCATAACGCTGCCCACGCTTCATGTGTTCGGGGACACGGACCGGGTGATCTCCAAAGGTGAGGTACGAGCAGTATTAGCTGCACGTGCTCAGGGACACAGACCAGGTGATCTCCAAGGAGGAGAGACAAGCAGCACGGGCTGCACGTGTTCGGGAGCATAGACCGGGCGATCTCCAAAGACGAGGGACGAGTGCTACGTGCTGCGCGGGTTTGCAAACATAGGCCGGGTGATCTTCAAAGGTGAGGGACGAGCATTACGAGCTGCGCGTGTTCAGGGACCCAGACCGTGGTATATCCAAAGGTAATAGAAAGCAGTACAGGATGCACGTGTCCAGGGACAGAGAAGAGCTGACCACTTAAGGTGAGGGACGAGTGGTGCTGGCTGCGCGTGTTCAGGGACACAGACCGGATGATCACCTAAGTCGGCAGACCAGCAGTACAGGCCGCCCGCGAGAGGACGGTGGTACTGTTGTCAATGGTATTGGTCATGCCGGACTATCGCGCAGCGGACTCTGATGCCTGGGAACTTTTGATCATACCGCTAGGCGGCATCACCAGTACCGACCTGGTTGTACTATGGACGAAAGCGTGGTATGCGCGTTTTCGTGCGTGCGTGCGTGCGTGCCTGCGGGCGTGGGTGCCTGCGTGCGCGCGCGCGTGCGTGCATGTGGATAGGTTAAGGATCCCATATTAAAGTTTTGTTTTCAGTGCGCATTTCTCGTTAAGGTGGACACCTGTGTGTCTCAGCTTCTCGGAAGGAATAGGACAGGATAGTACAATGGCTCGTTTCTTTTGAAACGGGAAGGAGGCGACCTCATCTGATGCTTCACCGCTCTCCTGTTCCAGAAATGAGTGAAGACTTGCTGAAATGCTACACAGATGTCGCCGTTTTGAATCACAGCGGCGGACATCACATCCCTGCTACGTCGAAGGACAAGGGCGTCTACCTCGAATTCCTTGACCGAATGCGGCTACAGTGTTAACTCGCACTTGCAGTAGGATGTGTTTGGTAGCCAATTGCAGGTGTCAGAGTTTGGACACGCATGCCGTGTGATGGAAACTGCTTTGTGTCTCATAGCCTGTGTCGCGGGGTCCGTACGCCTGATCGCAAATCACGCTTACGTCCCATGGACGTATATTTTGTTTGGTTTTGTCGCGTGTGTGCGTGCGTTGAACCAACTTTATGTGTCTGGTCTGTGGAACTGCATTCCAGTGCGGGTTTTCCTCACCGTTACTAGTCATGCAGTGCGTGTTTAGTCTCCAAATGCGCAATTCAGATGTGCCTTGGTCACGGAGGCAAACATGGCGCAAGTTATACGGGCAAAGTAACGCATGAACTATGTAACAATAAAATGCTGATTTTTCGTCGTCTCCATTTGGGGCTCAAAAGTCACTGAAAGGCATGTAAACTTGTTTTGCAGAACCGACGCGTCAGAGTCGAAAACGAAACCTAATAAACAATGTTCAACCTACAGTTTTATGTCAGGAGTGAGACGAGGTATGAACATTACGGATGGAGTGGTGCCCAACATCTGTCAGCACGATGAAAGACACGCACGTTATTGGAATGGGCCAGTAGTTGCCGTTCTTTTCTGAGATTGCGGAGCAAAGCTAAATCCTTTTTAGGAATGAGCGCACCGGTGCACTTCAAGTTACCGAGTGCAACGAAACAAGAGACGTGACTTGCATGCTGACTTGCAATTCATGCATAATTCGTGCTGATCATGCGTGAATTATGCACGATCAGACGACTGAATTAACGGCCGCACATGAGCGTACCATGGTTATCAACTGAAAGTGGCCATGCATGCATGCTCCGAGGATAAGGCTATTACTACTGTCCTATCGAAGTGTGTTAGACACTTATCAGACACAGGAAAAGCAATAATCGCAGACCCAACGACTTTCCCAGGTCTCCACGGTTTCGTGACATTTCGGTTTATCGCGACGGGCTAGAATGGTGAGTGAAAACAAAAACGAAGTCCAGAGACTGGTGAAGCCTCTTTTGGTTGTTCAAGACAGTGGATACGATGTGCAATGTGTCGAGGTGAAATTGGACGCGCTGAAGTTGATTTTATCAAGATCTGACTTACAGAATTCTGCCAACTAACAGGCCGAATCATTCGGCCTGTTCCTGGCTTCGGGATGTCCGAAGTGTTTGGAAAAGCAATAAGACACAAAAGAATGACATGATCTGGTCTCATTACTGGTGTACCAAGACTGATGAGTGCACGAAACGCCCAAAAGGAAACCGCCAGACTGTTTGACTTGCCTGACTTCTGACGTCTCGCACCGCAACGTGTTCTCTGACGTCAAGCCAACGCGCGCCCGGAAATAGACATCCCAGCACCTCGTTAGGGAACGTGACAAGTCATCGTCAACTCAACGTCATCGTCGGTACTGTGAGTTTGGCAAACGTTGGTGATGCAGTTTGGATGTTACGCCCTGTGAGATCCATGCACCTGGCTTTACCGCAAAACAGTAACATTGTAGCGCGAATGCCTCGTTAAAACTGACAATATAACCCGGGGTCGTATGCATTGGTGTTACTGGAAGAACGGTGATGTTAACAAGTCTAACATCGATTATTTAAACTGTCTCCCAATACATACCTCCCCTTGAAGTCGAAGACCTTTATCTGTGTTGCGGCCCTCGGAAGTCAACCAGAATATTCACCGCTAACAAACACATGCAACGGCGTCTTTCGGAAGCGTCAAAACGTGAGAAGAGTTAAGACTATCGTCAAATACCACTTTGGTTAAGGTCTTGTGGCTGCTCACTGCATCCATCGTCATTAGTTGTCCTGCACCGATCGGTATCGTCAATGGCTTCTAACCGGCATGTTTTGCTCTGCAGCAGCCTCTAGGTGTCAACAATGTAGGGTAATGATTGTATTATAACACACAGAAATAAATTAACCGACGGACACGAACACACCGTACTTACAAGACACATCTGCCAACACATATTCGAAGAGTTTAGCTGAAAGTGACCACACGAAAAGATTGCGCTGGGGAAGCAGTTTAATCGTACCGTGGCTTGTACCCAACGATGACGCGCTCATACTGAGGCTGGGGCTGGTAGAAGGCGGCAGGTGCATCGTCTTCGTCATCATCCTCCGGCGCCTCGTACCTCTCAAAATCATCATCATCGTCATCATCAGCCTCCGGCGTGGGGTACTCGGTGGGCACAGGGGTGGGCAGGTGGTCGCCCTGGGGCTGGAAGCCGTTGGCGTCGGCCACGTAGACGACCTTGTAGACAACACCGTCGGGACCGGTGTAGCTGAACTGGCCGTTGACGTCATAGCTCTCCTCATCGCCGTATCCCTCCACCGGCTTGCCAGACTCGGAGGCGTAGATGCCGTTCTCAGTCTCGAAACTGAAAAAGCATTCTAACGTCAGAAGTCTCAATGGCATAATATTGAAGTGCACCATGCTTTATGATCCGAGAAACCGATGCAATCTTTTTGCGCGTCGAATGCTTAGTAAGCGTAACAATAAAATTAAGGCAGACCAGTCACATATAATGTATACGAATCGATTCCCAGCAGTATGCAAAGTCACTTACTGTGAGTCGTAGGACTGGTCGTCGCGCAGTTCAGACTCCTGCTTCAGGATCTGGTACACCTTGGGGGCCTCGTAGCTACGGTCGGGGGCGGCAGCGGCCACGGCCACAACGGCGGCGAGCAGAAGCTGAAACAACAAACGGCAAATAACATCTCGTCAGTAATCTGTCTTTTACATGATGCATTTCACTCGTGAGGTCTCGTGGTAGAGATACACATCCACGGAAAGCAAATGGCTCGAAAGAAAAGCACACGGAAAAGAACCAGGTACCGGAAGGGAGCAAAGAGAAAGCATCGAAGGATGAGATAACTAAGGACATACAGGAAGGCACGTTCGTAGCGGGCGACTCACCAGCTTCATGTCTGCGTTTGACGTGGTCTTTCAGAGGGAACTGGTGCCCGACCGCCGACCTGGAGCTGCTTTATACCAGCGGTGAGTCGGGCGCCATGTATCCCGAGGTCAGACGGTGGGGCCGGGCCGGTCCGTTTGACCGGACTGTGAACCGGAGCCATGTGACCGTCGTGTAAAATGGAACTCGACCGGCGTAATGAGATTGCAGCGCAGTGTACACTAGAAGGGAAACGAGAAAAACCGGCATTAAATGGATTCTGAAATGATCACTGTCAAGCATCAGCACCCTGAAATCGCATTTTTCTTCGCACCAATACCGCAAGGGCAACAGGTTTTACTCTACCGATTCTGACCACATAGCGCCAAATATAAGCGATCCGGCCGGATTACCAATCAGATGTCCGAAATATCACAAACATAAATCTCCACGTCAAACAGATAGGCAGCAAATATAAAGGCATATGCAAAAAACGTACATCATTGCAGGAACATGCTCCCTAAAATTAAATGGAGTGATTTGTCCAATGTCCGGTACGTAGTTTTCTGTCATATTCAGAATGGCTGGGCGATATTGCTCATTCCCAGCGCCTCCACTTCGCGGTTTTTGCTGGCAGCATTAAAGGTAACGGAACACAAAACACGGACGAAAGAAAGCTTTGGAAAAGATGCTTTTCTGGTCTCTGGCTCAGTGTTGCGAGTGGCTTACATTTATATATCTAATACCACTAGAATGGAAACAGCTATCCTCAGGGTGTGTTCAGCCAAACAGGGGCATTGTGCGCTGCGTTAAACTAAACCCGCGTGTACATTGTTAGGTGCATTTGCGAGAAACATGATGCACGTAGATAAGGCGGTGCTGTTAGGTTTATTCCTCGTAGAAGAACCAGGAAGAAGACGAAATAGATGCATTGATTTTTCAACTTCATGCCTTTATGGAAACAAATATGAGCTGTAGATTTTGCTCGATTTATCACTCATATTCCTTTCGACATAGCCATGTGGCCCAAATATCAATGGGTCTGTTTTCCTCCCTTCTGGTTATTCTACGACGAATAAGTCTAACAGCACCGTTTTATTCTAAACTACATGCATAAACGGCCGGTGCATGGCTTAACGATAACACCTGCAACGCAAGCAAATAAATGCTAATTTCTAGTGATGAACGCGAGCGTTTCACAAAACTGAACCGTCACTTGGGGTTGCCCGTAACTCGCCTGGCTTACCCCATTTTGTCCAGCTTGCCTGCGAGTCTATACCACTTTACAGCTGATGCCCCTCTTTCGATTGCGCACGTCTGCTAGTCATTTCACATGGGTGTTGCCGGTCTGGTGGTATTATATGCCTATGGATACCCATAACTTGGCGTACTTCACGCGCTTACTATCTGCTTGGGTGTTTCCGCAAGGGCGTCGCCAATTTCGTTGCCATATTTCACATCCACTCAGAGATGACATTTTCCGTCATCGCTCGTCATTTACGGACCGTCTCCGTCCGTGACCTTCGTAAGGTTACCCTTGAACGACAACCGTCCAGGCATTTAGTTTGAACGATCAGCCTGCCATAAGGTCTAACCGCTATGCCCTGTGCAAGACCGGCTTATTTATTTTAATGCTGTTGAATATCGGCTTAACTTGTTTTAAATCTTCGTGCCCCCTGTCTCTGCTATCAACGCTCGAGTTTCAACATTTTCAAATCCAACATGTTCGTGCAATGTATGTATTTTGACAATTACACTTCTCTGAGCTGCCGCAGCCCCCTGCCCAGCCCCTGCGTAATTGTGTAACAGTAACATTTTTTATGTCATATGCTTTAGGTATTGTAAAGTCTCTTTTGTGCTCGCCTTCGGCCGCTCCTCCTGCACCTTTCGCTCATCGTATTTGGGATGGGGCGCACGAGGTGGGATGGGGGGGAGGGGCGAGTGGGGCGCACGGTAACATAGCCGATGCGAATGACTTCTAATCATTGGATACTACCATCTGTCTAGACTATCTATTGATACACCCGATTGGTTGTCGGCCTCCATAGCAGGATTCACATTGCTGGGAATGTATCAGTATTTCTTGGTTATATACTTATGATCATTCCAACAAAGCTGCCATTTTTAGCCTTGTCGGCGCATGATTAGCTGACTGCTCGTTGCTGCCGAAAACATGGATGGAAACTGCCCATTTAGAACCTAACTGAATAAACCAGTAAAGTGACTTTGCTTATTGGCGTCAAATTTGCACTCGCTACAATCGGTACATGCCATGTTCAGCTTGCATTGAACACATTGCATATTTTAAACGAAGGAATGCATGCATATATGCATGCTCTAATGAATGCATGAATGGATGCATCACCAAGAATGAACGCAATGCATGATTTTTAAAATGGTTATGGAAGCAAATTACTTCACCCAGGAGCCGAGCTAACACCACTTAGGAACATGCAAATAAAATCGGAAACGTGACTGCGTCCCGCACAAAAGCAATTGCTTGGTAAATTTCGATAAAAGCGAGGCATGAAACAAAAATTCTGCCAATTTAGAAACAAAATGTATGCCTGGAAACACC